TTGGCAGAGATTTCAAGAATTAATTAGTTAGGCAGGCGACAAGGGCTATAATATCTGCAAGACGATTTAATTTAGTTACATATGGTCAATAAATTGGTGTTGCAACAAATTGTTAGTCAATGTATCAGTATATCACAACTTTGTTCTGTGTCTGATTACAGGGGGTTCGCGTTGATTGTTTCGTGATTCGGGGGGTACTTGACAGAAAAAAGGTTGAGAACCCCTGATCTAGCCGATCCGCCAAATATATTCCAATAATATATTGTGAAATTCAAGGCATTGATCCTGCCCTTTTTGTTGTGAGTTTCAACTCCTATTGAATCGTAAACCAAATTTGTCCAGAGGTTCTATGCCCATATCAAGCTTTGGATGGCTGGATGTTTCGTTAAGTCTATGACATAATGGCAAACATTGTAACAAAGCAGATTGAAAGCACATAGTACTGGCCTTGTTGAATTTTTAAATTGGTTGACTATCTTGCACAATCTGTAATTTGACAGTTCAATTTGGTTATGGCAAATGAATGGCACCAAGATGGCGCACAACCTGAACTTAGGTTGTGTACAAAGTTAAGATTCAGGTTGTGCGACATCTTGGTGCGCATACTTCAGGAGTACCCAATGCTGTTTTTGTACAACTTAAGTTATGTGGAAAAAGCTTTTCATTGTTATCTCACATTAAAACGGAAAAAAAAATTTGTGTGGAAGCCAACGCTCTATTTCACCTTGCAGGAACTGCATTTTACATATCTGATATCAAAAAGACAGCAGCAAATTCATCATTAAGTTGAACTGTCAGTTTTTGATTGCATACTTTTATGGCAATACATTCAATCAATTATGTATTGTGTTTTTGACAATTTGGGTGTATTTCGAAGGTTCGCAGGTTCATGAGATTAGTTTTGAAATTTTTTCGGTCCGCAAACTAAAACGGTTGAGAACCACTGGATTAGAACATATATAAAAAAGAGTATATTTTCTCATTATACAGCAAACCCCATAATTGTGGGTCAATAAATTCAGGTTAGGAACCAGTATTTTGATAAGCAAATAAAAGTCATACCTCAACCCCATTTCTGTGAAAGCCTCGATAGCGTTTTGAGGTAATTTATGAGGATATTCATCACCTTCGGACAAACATCTCACTGAAGTCCATATTGTAGTTAGGCATTCAACAGAATATGGGCCATAGTACTTATCACAGTGGTTAGGATATGCTGAACAAAATCAAGATATTAGAACAGAAGAAATTTAACAACAGCATGCATGAGTAAAAATCTTTATCTTACGCAATCCAAAGCATTGATTTTGATCCTCCAACTGATCATTATCAGCAGCTGACATAGTTCCATTGAATTCATCAATAATTTCCCTAAAGCAGTTACAGAAAAAAGGAAAATTAATCTATTACCGGTATATAAAATTGTTATGGATATATTATCACTCACCTCAAGTTCTGGCTATCATGTCGGGTTAGTTCTGTTTGCAGTAATTTTGATGGATGTTTGTCTCCTTCTTCAATACAACGAGCAGATTGCCAAATTGTTTCCAAACAATTAATTGGATGAGGTCCATAGTATTTTACACAATGCATAGGATATTCTAGTTTTAAATATAACATAAATTTAAAACAATAAAAGCATCCATCAATTACGAGTTAAATTGAAGTTTCAACATGGGTCAAACAACACAACTAAAATTATATTTTACCTATTCCAAAACAATACATTTGCGAATCTTTATTATCATCATCAGATTCTTTCCTGATTGCCTCAAATTCAGAAGTTACTTCTCTGCAATGAAGTAAGTGATTTTCATCCAAAAAAGTAAATCCAATTATGACGATTCAAAATAATATCATCCAAAATATTGAATATAACAACTATCCAAGTTTGTGAAAATTGAAATAAGCCATTTGCATAATGTTAATAGTTAACCAAAATTTACTGTTCAGCATACTATAAATTAGGTAAACTTCAGCAAATTAAAAAAGTCATTTTGACAATCATCATTGACGCTCATATATTGCATTTTAAGATGAATAGTTTGAAATCTGTATGACATGAAAATCAGAAGAACAAGATTTAAAATTGTTGACAACTGATAATGTCTCAATCATAAACGACAAAATTAACACAAAATAAGACACCTAATAGTAAGAATGTCGATTCGACTTAGTTCCGATTCAGAAAGTTTGTTAGGAAATCTTGTTCCAAGTTCCAAACATTCGAAAGATTTCCATATTGTAACCAAACATTCCATGGGATGTGGTCCATAGTAATTAACACAACCTTCAGGATATTCTGAAAAACATTACATTAAATTAGATACTAGAATTACTTTCGAAAAATCTAATGTATACATTGACCACATACCTAATCCAAAACATTCTGTTGGAATTTGGTATCTCCCTTATCAGCTGATAGAGCAGATGTATTGAATAGGTTGATAAGTGGACTAAAAAAAGAAATAATTTCATGATCACAGGCTGGAAGAATTTCTTCAAAAATCTTGTTTCCAGAAGGAAATATACTTTTATAAAAGAGACTAAATCACACCTATTTTAGGTGAACATTACAAATTATACAAAAAAGTATCTGAAGTTCTCTGAACCACATAACAAATTTAATTTTTATCAATGTGTATAACTGTAAAAAATAGGTTTAAAGACAATTATTTTAATATTCATCCAAAATTATCAAATGTAAATCACAATTTGTCTAGACAACGGATATATGGAGGTTATTTGTGGAGTGACCCAAATATTTGTCATAAGTTTCTTCACATACTTATAATTGATATAAAGTGGGAAAAAATTTGTATAGCTACCATATTTAGCATAAATGCACAATCATCTACACAAAGCAAAAATGCAATGCAGACAATGCTTATTTTGGTAACAACTAAGTAAGTTTTCAGGGTTCAAACAAATATCTTTCACAGTACGACTCGATAAATTGTATAATATAAAGCAGCATGCACAATGAAACTATGAATTGACAAACTGTCCCATTTTTGCTCCACAGTTTGGGACACAGATAATAGAAAAATCAATATTAAGACTTTACGTCAATCCTATTCCATTGAATCCATCAATTTCGGCTGAGTCTAGTTTCGGTGGAAACTTTGATCCCTCAGGAAGGCATCTTACCATTTCCCAAATTGTTTTAAGACAGTCAATAATGTATGGTCCATAATACTCATCACAGTGTTCAGGATATGCTAAAGATAAGTTATTTAAAAAATTAACATGTAAATTACATATTTAATTACTTACATGAGAAATAGATCAAGAAAATGCAAGATTTTGCTTATTAAAAAACAAATGAATCAAAATAGTTTACCCATTCCAAAACAGAAATTTTGATTTTCGCGATCACCTTCATCTGCAGAAGACTTGATGGACTTAAATTCAGATATAATTTCCCTGAAATAAAACATATAATTGGGATAAACAAGTTGAAGGCATGTAAGGATAATGAATCCCAAGGAAAAAAACACACCGTTGATTCATTTCATCATGTCGAGCCAAGGCATCATTGGAGAGTTTAGTTGGATGTTTATGACCAGCAGATAAACAAAGTTCCGAAATCCAGATTGTTACCAAACATTCAACAGGGTGAGGTCCATAATATAAGTTGCAATGGAGGGGATATTCTGTCAAAATAACAATAATTAAAATAAGCTGTTTACTAAAACATGAGTGAAAAATAAAATTGCTTCCTATCTTACCCATTCCAAAACAGTATTGTTGATGTTGCTTAGAAGCACTATCAGCCTTGTTCCTTGTGTTTTTAAAATCGTTGATAATTTCTCTGAAACAAAAATGATGTAAGGTTATATAAGAAATATTCATGAATAACCAATTAAAAGATCATTCACCTCAGAGTCAGTCCGTTATATCGGTCCAGTTCATCTTCTGTTAGTTTATCAGGATATTTGGTACCAAGATCCAAACATTCAAAATCACTCCATATCGTTTTCAAACAAGTTACAGGGTGGGGACCATAATATTTAATGCAGTGTTCAGGATATTCTAAAAAAACATGAATACATATGAATCAAAAAAAAACATTATCAATTTTAATTGGCTAAATATGTTAATGTAGCACATCCTCTCTTCTTCACCCGATTGATCTTTGTCAACTGTTAAAAGTTAATTTTAATCTAGAATCCGAAAGCAGAACAAAGAAAAATAACATTTATGTTTTTTTTGCAAATATTGAGAAGAAACTTCATGTGTATACTTCTTTCAAACTAGTTTATAATCTGTGATTGTTTTCATAACAATATTGAGTTTGGTCAAACATTAACAATTACCCATTCCAAAGCATTTCATCTGATGACTGACATCTCCATTATCTGATGCAATAGCTGATGCATTGAATTGAGAAATCACTGCCCTGCAAGCATACGTTTTATTTGACATGTTTGACATTAAATTAATATTTTTTTCAGAATCCTTTACCCTTGCATCAATCTTTATAGCATAAGTAAACACTGATTAGAACAGTGGTTCTCAACCGTCGGTCAGCGTCAACCATCTAGCCGATCCGCCAAATATATTCCAATATTATATTGTGAAATTCAAGGCATTGATCCTGCCCTTTTTGTTGTGAGTTTTAACTCCTATTGAGCGTAAACCAAATTTGGCCAGGGTTCTACGCCCATATCAAGCTTTGGACGGCTGGATGTTTTAAGTCTATGACATAATGGCAAACATTGTAACAAAGCAGATTGAAAGCACATAGTACTGGCCTTGTTGAATTTTAAATTGGTTGACTATCTCACACGTTCTGTAATTTGACAGTTCAATTTGGTTATGGCAAATATTTTTGAAATTATCCGTCCTTGCGCGGAAAACCTTTGGATTGTTAATCTTTGCAAAAGATATTAATTTGTACAAGCTTAACTCTTTTGAGAAAGAATAAATGATTGAACATTCCTGCGATATCACATTGATGTAGGAGCTTAAGGACTTGAATTTGTCACAGTTTTGGATATCGCTTGATAAGAATATTTTCAAGCTCAGTGACAAAGCCAATAAACAATGCTGGGACCTCCTGAAGTATGCGCACCAAGATGGCGCACAACCTGAACTTAGGTTGTGTACAAAGTTAAGATTCAGGTTGTGCGACATCTTGGTGCGCATACTTCAGGAGTACCCAATGCTGTTTTTGTACAACTTAACTTATGTAAAATAAGCTTTTCATTGTTATCTCACATTAAAACAAAAAAAAATTTGTGTGGAAGTCAACGCTCTATTTCACCTTGCAGGAACTGCATTTTACATATCTGATATCAAAAAGACAGCAGCAAATTCATCATTAAGTTGAACTGTCAGTTTTTGAATTGCATACTTTTATGGCAATTACATTCAATCAATTATGTATTGTGTTTTTGACAATTTGGGTGTATTTTGAAAGTTCGCATATCCATGAGATTAGTTTTGAAATTTTTTCGGTCCGCAAACTAAAACGGTTGAGAACCACTGGATTAGAACATATATAAAAAAGAGTATATTTATTCTCATTATACAGCAAACCCCATAATTGTGGGTCAATAAAATCAGGTTAGGAACCAGTAATTTGACAAGATAAAAAAGTCATACCTCAACCCCATTTCTGTGAAAGCCTCGATAGCGTTTTGAGGTAATTTATGAGGATATTCATCACCTTCGGACAAACATCTAACTGAAGTCCATATTGTAGTTAGGCATTCAACAGAATATGGGCCATAGTACTTATCACAGTGGTTAGGATATGCTGAACAAAACCAAGATATTAGAACAGAAGAAATTTAACAACAGCATGCATGAGTAAAAATCTTTATCTTACGCAATCCAAAGCATTGATTTTGATCCTCCAACTGATCATTATCAGCAGCTGACATAGTTCCATTGAATTCATCAATAATTTCTCTAAAGCAGTTACAGAAAAAAGGAAAATTAATCTATTACCGGTAATAAAGTTGTTATGGATATATATTACTCACCTCAAGTTCTGGCATCATGTCGGGTTAGTTCTGTTTGCAGTAATTTTGATGGATGTTTGTCTCCTTCTTCAATACAACGAGCAGATTGCCAAATTGTTTCCAAACAATTAATTGGATGAGGTCCATAGTATTTTACACAATGCATAGGATATTCTAGTTTAAATATAACATAAATTTAAAACAATAAAAGCATCCATCAATTACGAGTTAAATTGAAGTTTCAACATGGGTCAAACAACACAACTAAAATTATCTTACCTATTCCAAAACAATACATTTGCGAATCTTTATTATCATCATCAGATTCTTTCCTGATTGCCTCAAATTCAGAAGTTACTTCTCTGCAATGAAGTAAGTGATTTTCATCCAAAAAAGTAAATCCAATTATGACGATTCAAAATAATATCATCCAAAATATTGAATATAACAACTATCCAAGTTTGTGAAAATTGAAATAAGCCATTTGCATAATGTTAATAGTTAACCAAAATTTACTGTTCAGCATACTATAAGTTAGGTAAACTTCAGCAAATTAAAAAAGTCATTTTGACAATCACCATTGACGCTCATATATTGCATTTTAAGATAAATAGTTTGAAATCTCTATGATATGAGAATCAGAAGAACAAGACTTAAAATTGTTGACACCTGATAATTGCTCTTAATCATAAACAACAAATTTAACACAAAATAAGATACCTAATGTTAAGATTGTCGATTCGACCTAGTTCCGATTCAGAAAGTTTGTTAGGAAATCTTGTTCCAAGTTCCAAACATTCGAAAGATTTCCAGATTGTGACTAAACATTCCATGGGATGTGATCCATAGTAATTAACACAACCCTCAGGATATTCTGCAAAACATTACATTAAATTAGATATTAGAATTACTTTTGAAAAATCTAATGTATACATTGACCACATACCTAATCCAAAACATTCTTGTTGGAATTTGGTATCTCCCTTATCAGCTGATAGAGCAGATGTATTGAATAGTTGATAAGTGGACTAAAAAAGAAAATAAATTCATGATCACATACTGGAAGAATTTCTTTAAAAATCTTGTTTCCAGAAGGAAATACACTTTTATAAAAAGAGTATACGATCACACCTATTTTTTAGGTTAAACATTACAAATTATACAAAAATAGGAACCAGAAGATCTCTGAACCACATAAAAAGTTTACAGTAATTCTTATCAATGTGTATAACTGTAAACAATAAGTTTAAAGGGCATTCATTTCAATATCCATACAAAATTATCAAATGTAAATCACAATTTTTGCTTAGACAACGGATATATGAAAGTTATTTGTGGAATGATGCAAATATTTGTCACATGTTTCTTCACATATTTATCATTAATGTAAAGAAGGGAAATAAATTGGTATAGCTACCATATTTACAGTAGCATAAATGCACAAATATCTTCAAAAGGCAAAATGCAATGCAGACAATCCCTATTTCGGAAACAACTAAGTGAGTTTTCAGAGTTCAAATAAATATCATTCACAGTGCAACTCAATAAATTATATAATATAAGGCAGTATGCACAATGAAACTACATCTGAGTAACAGACTTGACAAACTGTCTCATTTTTGCACCACAGTCTGCGCCACAGATAAGAGAAAAATCAATATGAAGATTTTACGTCAATCCTGTTCCATTGAATCCATCAATTTCCACTGAGTTTAGTTTCGGTGGAAACTTTGATCCCTCAGGAAGACATCCTACCATTTCCCAAATTGTTATAAGACAGTCAATAATGTATGGTCCATAATACTCATCACAGTGTTCAGGATATGCTTAAGATGGGTTTAATAAAAGATTAACAAATAAATACTTCTATTACTTACATAAAAAATATAGCCAGAAAAAAAAGATTTTTGCTTAATATAAAACAAATGTATCAAAATAGTTTACCCATTCCAAAACAGAAATTTTGATTTTCGCGATCACCTTCATCTGCAGAAGATTTGATGGACTTATATTCAGATATAATTTCCCTAAAATAAAACATATAATTTGGGATAAACAAGTTGAAGGCATGTAAGGATAATGAATCCCAAAGAAAAAAACACACCGTTGATTCATTTCATCATGTCGAGCCAAGGCATCATTGGAGAGTTTAGTTGGATGTTTACGACCATCAGGTAAACAATGTTCCGAAATCCAGATTGTTACCAAACATTCAACGGGGTGAGGTCCATAATATAAAGTACAATGAAGGGGATATTCTGAACATAATATTACAAATGGATAAAAAAAATATTCCCAATACTGGTGAGCAAAGCTACTTTTAAATATTACCCATGCCAAAGCAATATTTCTGGTTTTTTGTTGAACCATTATCAGCTTCATTCCTTGTTTGTTAAAAGTTGCAATCAATTTTCTGAAAGCAATAAACGATTTGGCCAATTATTATCATAGAAAGCAAACTAAAATTTATAATACATTTGGTTCAATTTATAGCTCAATAATTTATTAAACCAAGTTCAATAACGTATTCCTATTATATTTAATATTACAATAAAAATGGGGTGTCTAAAAAATGTTGTTTCTTACAATTTTTAGTAAACCTACACTTCTGTATGATCCTACTTCATATGCGTAAGTCAACCATTTTTCCACAATATATATATGATCTCAGAACTTTGAGAGAAGTGGTATAATTAGAACAAGAGTCATATAAGTGGGACAATTGCGGGAAAATAAAAAAAAACTTGTGACAATGGTGGGTTTGGATGGGCATTTCCGAATACCTGATAATTTCAGAATCAAATATTTTAAAACAAATCACGAATTTTTGGAAAATATGTAATTGTATATAACTTTTTTATTGCAATGGGTACTTCATGCACATAAATTACTGAAAACATTGAATCTATCACTCTGACAATTTGCTAAGTTGTCACACACAAAAGAAAACATATAAATATAAATATATTTGTAATTCAGCTATGATTGGCACGGTAAAAAGACAATTCAGTAGAAGTTAATTCAAAATTTATGTTATTAATTGATGATCTACAACGGTAGTTAGTTATGATTAGATTGGAATGTTATTTGTAATATGAATTGTTAATATTCATTCAAACCTATCTGACACCAGGTCACCATGTATTTTATTTCCAAATTATTACAATTACCTAATCATAATATTTTTCAATCATTTTTCTCATGTCAGATAACCGCTTAAAACTAACATTAATTTAGAGTTTTAACTTTACTGGTTAGTTAGTTCAAACCAGTGTGTGAGTATATAATGAAACAAAATCGTCTTAAAAAATGATAAAATTTAATCGCGTCATATTAACAGAAATGTTTGTATATTCCAGTTTTCTTCATGTTTATATTTATCACATGCTTTCTTATAGACTAACAGTTCCCATATGAATTGAGGCCTCTTTCTGGTTCATTCTTGAATGGAAATACCTGTTAATTGTTTGAAAACATTGAACTGGTGATGAATACTGTCAAATTCACCAAACATTTACAAGTGCAAGAAAGTCAAGCCATTGTTCTCACACAATTTTTCTGGTTGATGCAGATTTGTAAATTATCCCAAAGTAAAACGAATCTTCTAAAACCAAACATTAATCACTATTAACATAATGTCATACAACTGTTATTTGTACAGGAGGTACAGTTTATCAAAACATATAAATTTTAACATAAAGTTTCATTTTGAATAAAAACTAAGCCAAACGAGTTAGGAATGTCTTCCTAATTTTTTTTTTTTTTTCTGTAAAATGAACCATATCAAAATTCAACAAAACCGAAATTTGTTAGGTAACAGATTACAAATATAGATGTCAAATTGACCAAAAAAACAGTTTGACAGTATTCATTCAATTCACTATTTTCAAATTAACAGACATTTCCATCAAACACAGTGTAGAAATAACTGAGCCATCAGAACAAAACTGCGACTGAGAACATTGGCTGACACATGCTTTTGTAGATGTTTGCTTTAATTCTACCACATTCATTCATGTCAATTTTCAAGTCTTTAAATTTAAAATTCTATGATGTAAATACAAAAAACTGTCCTGACTGTGTTTAGACACCTTCACTCAAAACAAGGGTCTTTACAAAGAATCACACATATACAAAATATTTCTTATATTAAAATATTTCTTTGTCCAATGCTTCAAATAGTGAGCAATTACAGCCACAATGAAAACTCTAACAGCAGATAATTTATTAAGCTAAAACTATTGTCTCAATTTTTAAAAAAAAAGCAAACTTCATGCGTAAGCAGTTGGGATGGCCTGCCCAACCTTTTTCGTCTCGCGGGCCACTTTCACGTGACAAAATTCGTTGCGAGCCGCAAACATTTATACCAATAATATCAGCTAAGTCCTGATTTCGCTGTAGGTAATTTACATAATACATAAAAGGAAAGTTTATTAACATAAAATCATTCAATTTAATAATTGCTTCCTGGTTACTGAGTAGGGCAGGACAGATTTTCGAACATCAAGTCAAATAATAGCAGAGCAGGTTACTATTCGAATATCTGGTAACACGGGGCGTGGACTTGACACTTGTGGTTTTTTGACGACCACACGAGAACACACACATCACGTCGAAATTGAGTGTTATATTCCCGTTATAGTGTTTTTATTCATTCTTTTTCAGCAGCCACGATACTGCCTCAATGTTCAAATGAGCATAATGTGCTCCAATGTCGCAGGAATATCAAGTTTGAGTGGGCAGTTTCGTGCAATTTGAAACACCAATACAAGTATTTAATGAAGTAACATTACAAAGATTTCTGGACTAATAGCCTATATATACTGATTTGTAACCAATATGCAGCAATTCCATTAAGTCAATTTCATCAGAAATATTGACGAATAGGCAGTGACGACATTTCCGAAATCTTATTCAACCTAAATATTAAATAAATAAAAAAATACAAACATAATAGGACATTGAGTCCCAGGACCAGCCTTGCTATAGGGCATGAAATAAAATTTTCAATAATGAGAAATGCCTGAAAATAAATAACTGCTTAAAATAAATGATTTAAATGGAATAATTTACAGTATATCAAATCATATGTATATTAATTGAACAGTTTATTTATAATCACCTCGAATAAATGTTCTGCCTTCAAAATAATATTTTATTTCAACATGGACTGAAAAAAAAAATGTTAAAGTAAATTCAAAATTTCATCAATGATAAAATATAAAGTAATACATGTTAAAATGTAAATTCAACCTTAAATATTATTGAAAATTTATATACATATGCTAGACTAGCCTTCTAAACTATGAGTAAAATTACATACCTTCAAGTAAACTCACCAAAGAACCTCCGAGATCCTTCACAATCAACTGCAATGAAGCTGTTTTCTAACCCACCTTCAAATTAACTGCTAATTTAAAATTGACATAAACAATATAAGCTGTTTCACTGATTACATCACATTGCATCTCATGTTTGTTTATTACATTTTTAGAATAGGTGTCAAAGAAGAAATAAAAATCCCGATTAGTACTCACGTGAGACCCATTCCATTAAAGCTATCAATAGTAGTTTGGGGAAGTTTTAGTGGATATTCAGTTCCGTCTGGAAGACATCTAACCATTTCCCAAATAGTTTCCAAGCATGGTACAGGATATGGACCATAATATTTTGAGCAGTCATCAGGATAAACTAAAAAAACAATAAACTTACATAAAAAGTCATTTATTGGCAGAAAAGTATAATTGCATTCTTTCAATAACTAATAAGTAATTAGGTCAACAGAGGTAATAGTAGTATAGTTAGATAAGAATAAATAAATGAATTACCAAGTCCAAAGCAATATTTCTGAGAATCTTTATCATCACTATCTGCAGCAGATTTAGTAGCATTGAATTCATTAATTATTTCTCTACAAAACAAACAAATTAGAAAAAGTTACAGCTATACATGCATAAAAATAATAATTAATAATTATGCCTATTAAAGCTCATAAACCTTAAATTCTTTTCATCATGCTGGTCCAATACATCCTGCGTTAATTTAGTTGGATGTTTTTCACCAGCAAGTAAACATCTTGCAGAAATCCATATTGTTATCAAGCAATCAAGAGGATGAGGCCCATAATACAATGTGCAATGAAGAGGATAATCTACAGAAATTAGGCTGTATATAAAATCATTCAGAAGAAAAAAATGAAAAAATACAATTGTATACCTATTCCAAAGCAATACTGCTGATGCTGTAACGAAGCTTTATCCGCCTGCTTTCTTGTATTTTCAAAATCTGCAATTATTTCTCTGAACAATAAAACATGAGATAAGACTAAAGTCCATCGCTTACAATGATGGTTGACCTAGGAAGATTTACCTCAAAGTGAATGTATCATAACGTTCTAACTCATCTTCCATAAGTTTATCAGGATATTTTGTTCCGAAGTCCAAACATTCGAAATCACTCCATATGGTTTTCAAACAAGACACAGGATGTGATCCATAGTATTTGGTGCAGTGTTGAGGATATTCTGTTAATACAATAATTCAGAAGATAACTTTCCCAATTCAGATTGTCTTCATCATATTATTTTCATCATATTACCCATTCCAAAGCATTTCAACTGATGATCGGTATCTCCGTTATCAGAAGCCAAAGATGTTGCATTGAATTTCGCAATCAATGGTCTAAAATAAAAAGAACTGAATTTAGTAGAGGGGTCTCGCTTCCAACTAAGATAAAGTCAAGTGTCGATCCTAGTAAAAAAATGTTGATAAAATGATGCAAGTTTTTTAGGAAATGAAGAATAATGTTAATTTACCTTAGTCCCATTTCAGTAAAAGCTGTGACAGCATTTTCAGATAACTTATGAGGATATTCATCACCTTCCGGTAAACATCTCACCGAGGTCCATATTGTAGTTAGGCATTCAACAGAATATGGGCCATAATACTTATCACAGTGGTTAGGATAAGCTAAATTTTAAAAAATAGCATATAAAAATGCAAGAGACTGACATGTGATTAGATCAAGGAATGCAAGCTTACGTAATCCGAAGCAATCATTTTGATTGTCTACATTTCCAGTATCGGCTGCTGATTTAGTTGCATTGAATTCATCAATAATTTCTCTGTAGTAGAAGTATAAAAATCACGAGATTCAATGTCTCAAAACAAAAACAAAAATATATTTCACCTCAAATTTTGTTTGCCACGTCTTGTCAGTTCAGATTCCTCTAATTTTGGTGGATGCTTGACACCTTCTTCTATACACCGTGCAGATTTCCATATAGTTTCCAAACAATTGACTGGATTTGGACCGTAGTACTTCAAACAGTGCAGAGGATATTCTGTTATTTATTCATAACCGCTTTTAGATATATATATAAAGTATAGGGAAGGAAAGCTATTTTTTAATTCTTTGTGATATACTTTCCTAAATATATAAAATAGCTGTTTGAAGTAAAATCAATTGCAGATATACTTTAATAAAATGGCATATATATAAAGTATTCGGTTGAGAGTTAGCCTAATTAACCATCCCTTCGGTAAATATTATTGTCTTATGTACGTTTGAACCTTTCTATACACAGTTCAAACAAAGAAACGAGAATATCGGTTGGAAACCGAAGACTTATCGATCGATAGTTAGGTGATCCCCCAAAACAGAAACTGCAGTTTCGATTCATCCGCTCTTGTAACTTGCGCACTGCGCATCGCACACACACACTCGGCGGGTTTCAAAATTCTCTCGCTTTACAAAAATCTAGATCACTATATCAATAATTGATTGATAACTCGCTAATTATACGACATAATTCGCCCAAAATCAATAGGCTTCTGGTCCGAGATAAGATGAATGCACATGCAAAATCTGGAGCAGATTCAATCTCGCTTTCGTGAGATATCGCGTGCATCTAACAGACACACAGACAGACATACATACAGACAAATACCTATCAATATAATGATGAATAGTTGAGGGAAGGTGATAATTAAAATGAGGAGAATACAAAAAAAAATTTGTTTTCAAATAATTCTCTAATTTTATCCCATATTTATATATTGAACATAGAGCAATTGCAGCAATTCGGAAATTACAGTATCATAGAACACTAAAATAGTTGTCTTTTATAACTACATAGGCCTACTATAATAATCATTGAAACCTCAATTATTAATTTTCTGTTCTACAATAAAAAAGAATATAATATGTTAAACTTCGTCATTTCTTATGTTTGCATCTACAATATGAAAAACACAAAAAAACTGTAGTGACAGCTAACTCTTTTCACCAAACTTGTTCTAAAATGAAAACAAAAGTTTAAGTATTACAATGGTTTTGTAACAACGGTTCTAATCGGTTCTGCTCGGTTCTAATTTTCATTACAACCTGCATCATTACTTAGCATGATTACCGGTATCTTAAAAATGATTACCATTAGGGCTTTCCAAGCGAACCAAATATTCGAAATCGAATCGAATCGCAAATTATTCGAATCGTTTTTTTCGGCTAATTTGCGAATCCCTAAAATTAGGTACAGAAAGCGGAAACCACCTTTGCAGGACGTTTTTTGCGCTTCTAGCTTAGACCACTCTCGCTCCCGGCTTAATTGGTTTCCCGATATTTCTCTCGCCTACATTTTGTGATAAACATGTCATTCCTAATGCCCGGTGGAACGTGATTAGCCATTTCATGCATGGTCATCATACCAATAGTTCTATAAATAGAATCGATTTGAAGCTGTTGAGTTAGTTATCATAGGAACATGGTACAGGCAACTCAAAGCTGAAACAGGTATTGTGGGATCTTTATGATGGCAATACCTTCTTTCAATGGAATTTGTAATCTTATGATTGATATACTGTATTATCCATCTATATACCAAGACAAATATTTGCACTCTTGAATTTTGATGACTGTTGTACACTAACAATATTATAGTCATCAAATAATATTGTCATCAAACTAGCTTCGAATTTGTTAAATGCAATTTTGAATTTGAGCAACAGTTTTATTTATATGAATGGTTGATATCAATTTGCTGAAAATTACACAAAAAAACATAAGACTAGTGATAATAGGATTAAAATAGCATCCACGGGCTTTACATGTCCTATTAAAACTGAATCCATTAGAAATGAGATTGCAATTTTTGAATTGTGCAATTTTTACACTTAACACTCAGCAGTTTTCGAAACCCAAATTTTGGAGTCCTTCAATTTTATTGACCAGTTCATACAAGCATGTGATCTCCCTTCATAAATTTGAAACATTGTATCGCAAAATAACAGCAGTAAGTCAGATGTAACTGCACATACAATACCACAACACCGAAGGGCAGGCGTTTATTGTATAATAGATACAGATTTAGGATTGCGCAATAATAATCGATTATTCTGTTCGATTCGGCGAAAATATTCGATTCGAATCAAAAAATTATTCGATTTTGGACAGCCCTAATTACCATATATGTAATAAGCTGCTGTCTCTGATGAAATCTGAATTTATCAAATCATTAATTTATTGATTTACCAATGTGAGTGAGTGATTCAATGTATTTACAATTTCAGTCGTTTGTTCTCAAGCACTCATTTGGCCAACTAATCAAACAAATAGAAAACAAAAAAATTGAAAAATGGAGTTTTAAATTAAATTCTGCATGCTACAGTTGAAAATAAAAAAAACTCACTCATTCCAAAACAATACATCTGGGAATCTTGATTAGCACTATCCGCTGCATTTCTGATATTCCTAAACTCGGAAGTTACATTCCTATATAAGAAAAACATTCCGAAAGTATAACATCATAAAATTATAAATAGTAACAGGAAGGCAATAATTTGATTTTGGTCACATAGAAAATTTAAATTCAAGCTGCATATGTCCATCAAGCTTTAAAATTTTCAAATAAGAATGCTCTGGATTTAAAACCTTGATGAAAAATGATAGTGTGGCCCTATAAAAACAACATTTTGGCAAGTTACATATTAAAAATACCTGATATTGAGATTATCAATTCGTTCAAGTTCAGATTCTGAAAGTTTTTCTGGAAATCTTGTACCAAGTTCCAAACATTCGAATGATTTCCATATTGTGATTAAGCATTCCATGGGATGTGGCCCGTAGTAGTTGACACAGCCCTCAGGATATTCTAAATACCAAGACTGATACTCAAACAAACACTCAAATTGAAATTAAAATCTTAAAAAACAATAAAGCATACCCAATCCAAAACATTCCTGTTGGAAATTGACATCGCCCTTATCGGCAGAAAGTGCAGACGTGTTGAAGAGTTCAATGAGTGGACTGAAGGAATAAAAAAAATTTACATAGCAGATATTGTAGAATTTGTATTTATTTTGCAATTATAGTGAGCTGTTATTTTTGTATTGGTTGAAAACCAGATTTTCGTGAAAACATCTAAAATACCCAACTTGCATAATGACATTATTTTAAATATAAAAAGATGATTCATGCATTTGTGAAAAAAGAATTTTTTTTACGTCAATCCCATTCCATTGAATCCATCAATTTCTGCTGAGTCAAGTTTCGGTGGAAACTTTGATCCATCAGGAAGGCATCTTACCATTTCCCAAATTGTTTTGAGACAATCAATAATGTATGGTCCATAATACTCATCACAGTGCTTGGGATATGCTAAAAAGTGATTCAATCATGTTAGGAACTGATTAATTTGCATTTTGAGTAAGTAATATAAAAACTCTATGCTTCCAAGTAATGAAATGTCATGTAAGATATTGAACATTGTTACACCAAAACAAATTGATAATAAAATATACCACTGACCCATTCCGAAACAAAAATTCTGATTGTCATGATCACCTTCATCCGCAGAAGATTTGATAGACTTGAATTCACTTATAATTTCTCTGAAATAAATCATACAATTGAAATATACACATAAATAATGGTAAATAAAGTAGCTCACCTTTGATTCATTTGATCATGCCGTTCCAAGACTTCATTGGAAAGTTTAGTTGGATGTTTATGACCATCAGGTAAACAAAGTTCCAAAATCCAGATCGTTACCAAACATTCAACAGGGTGAGGTCCGTAATATAACGTACAATGAAAAGGATATTCTGTGTCAAATGATGAAGTATTGAAAAACTACTCACTCAAGATTCATGAATGAAACGAATGAAATTCCTTTCTTACCCATTCCAAAACAGTATTGTTGATGTTGTTTAGAAGCACTATCAGCCTTGTTCCTCGTGTTTTCAAAATCACCGATGACTTCCCTAATATAAAAAAAATGTGGTCAATGCAAAAGTATCAATTCCTAAAAATCATCAAAAATTCAACCAACCTAAGTGTTTGTTCGTCATATCTTTGATGTTCGTCTGTTGTAAGTTTATCAGGATATTTAGTTCCAAGTTCCAAACATTCAAAATGACTCCAAATCGTTTTCAAACAAGATGTAGGATGTGGTCCATAGTATTTTACACAGTGCTGTGGATATTCTGGAAAAATTGAAAATTTATTAAAAATATACATTTACCTATATATACAAAAAGTGAATGTCTCACACAATAATAATTGCAAAAAGTCTCACCCATTCCAAAACATTTCTTCTGATGACCAACATCTCCGTTATCCGATGCAAGAGCTGAGGCATTGAACTGTGCGATCAATGGTCTATAACAATTCAAGTGACGTGTTAAGCAACTTATCAATGTAAAAAAAAATTCTTAAATTTTTTAATCTAACCTTAGTCCTATTTCAGTGAAAGCTGCTATAGCACTTTCAGATAACTTGTGAGGATATTCTTCACCTTTTGGCAAACATCTCACTGAAGTCCATATTGTAGTTAGGCATTCAACAGAATATGGGCCATAATACTTATCACAGTGGGCAGGATATGCTAGAACAAGACAAGAGTATGCAATAATAATACTCTATGAGGCAATCGTCAGTATCAATTTAATAAACGAACAATAAACTGAAGTTAAAAGCTGTAACTATATACGAAACATCTTACGTAATCCGAAGCAAAAAAATTGATTCTCTACATCTCCATTATCCGCAGATGACTTTGTTCCATTAAACTCATTTATTATTTCTCTGTTTAAACAAGAAGCAAAAACATATTACATACATATAATATGCTGGCTGGCGGGATAAAAGCTGTACTGAGTGATTTTCACCTTAAATTGTTTCCATCAAGGCGGGTTAGATCTGCTTGACTTAATTTTGTAGGATGTTTTTTCCCTTCATTTATGCAACGTGCAGAAGTCCACATGGTCTCAAGACAATTCACTGGATGTGGTCCGTAATATTTTAAGCAATGTAGTGGATATTCTGCAAACAAAAGCAATAATAAAATAGCTTAGAAGTGAATATTAAACCCAAGAAATTTAATTTGATTTTAGAATAATGACCAATCGAATAGATAAAATCTAGAACATTGAAAACAGTTTCAGTGTTGACTTGAGATTCCTAATATACCTGAAAAACCAATTTCAGAGTACAAACCTTTAGAACACTGTACCATAAGAATATACAATGATTATCTCGATAGTCGAACCAACTCGATACTCGAAAAATTAGATAGTCGACCAAAAAATTCTAGTCAAAAATTCTGTGATATCGATTAACAGTTAGATGCTCAAACATCAGACCGCGATGCTGAGTGCGATGACATCACCAAACTGCACAGCTCGGCTGCCTCTAGACCATTCAACAAGGAAGCGAGGCTCAAATATAAGAACACAATACCAGGACGGCAGACTCAACAACTAACAAGAAACGCTAAAAAAAGTCCACAATTTGCTTATTAAACATGTGGTAACTAATGCAAAATTTCATCTTTATGTACATGTTTAAATAATTATTGTTGTTATTTACATGGTTTATTATTATTATGAGTATTTTGGAATTCGTAAGAACGAATTAAATAGTTAACATTGTTTCTTATGGCAAAAAAAGTTAAGGGCACTCGAACAAATCATCAGAAGTAGTACACAAATCCTCAATAAAATATGTGCGACTACCGAGGTATCACTTTATAAATTTCAAATTTTCAAGTTCATTCAACATTGAAAGCAACCGAATACATGGATAATGAAAAATATTTGATCAAATTAAAGTTTAAAACTATGGCCTGATCTCAGATCAATCAGTCAGTCAGTCAAATAAATCATAAAATACATTTAAACATTGAATGTGAAAAACATAGCGAAAACCGTTCTCACCCATTCCAAAACAGTACACCTGTGACTGCTTATTGTTATTATCCGCATCATTCCTGATAACCTTAAATTCAGCCGTTACTTCCCTAAAATAATAATCAATTGATAATGTTTATTTATACCTAAGTGCACACAATCCCTAGCAATACTGATGTGAGACAACAATAAGATAATATAAAATAGGCATGTATCTTGGAACAGAAGCTAAATAGGTTATAAACCTGATATTTAGATTATCAATTCGTTGAAGTTCAGATCTTGGAAGTTTTTCTGGAAATCTTGATCCAAGTTCCAAACATTCGAATGATTTCCATATTGTGATTAAGCATTCCATGGGATGTGGCCCATAGTAGTTGACACAACCCTCAGGATATTCTAAACATCAAGACTGATACTCAAACAAACACTCAAATTGATCAAAAATTAAAAAACCAATAAAGCATACCCAATCCAAAACATTCCTGTTGGAATTTGACATCGCCCTTATCGGCAGAAAGTGCAGACGTGTTGAAGAGTTCAATGAGTGGACTGAATAAATAAATAAAATTTACATAGCAGATATTAAAGAAAACACATTCATTTTGCAATTATGGTAAGCTCTTATTTTTGTATTGGTTGAAAACTAGATATTCGTGAAAATATTTACATCAACTAACATGCATAATGCCCATATAGGTTCTTTCAGGAGAAAAGAGATGATTGATATATTTATGTTAAAAGAAAAAAACTTTACGTCAATCCCATTCCATTGAATCCATCAATTTCTGCTGAGTCTAGTTTGGATGGAAATTTTGATCCATCAGGAAGGCATCTTACCATTTCCCAAATTGTTTTAAGACAATCAATAATGTATGGTCCATAATACTCATCACAGTGCTTGGGATATGCTAAAAAGTGATTCAATCATGTTAGGAATGGACTAGTTTGCATTTGAAATAGTAATATAGAAAGTGAATGCTTTCAAGTAATGAAATGCCATGTAAGATAATGAACATTGTTACAAGAAAAAAATTACTGACCCATTCCAAAACAAAAATTCTGATTGTCATGATCACCTTCATCCGCAGAAGATTTGATAGACTTAAATTCACTTATAATTTCTCTGAAATAAATCATACAATTAAAATATACACATAAATAGTGGTAAATACAGTAACTTACCAATCTACATACCTTTGATTCATTTGATCATGCCGTTCCAAGGCGTCATTGGAAAGTTTAGTTGGATGTTTATGACCATCAGGTAAGCAAAGTTCCAAAATCCAGATCGTTACCAAACATTCAACAGGGTGAGGTCCATAATATAATGTACAATGGAGAGGATATTCTGTGTCAAATGAAGAAGTATTTAAAAAACTATTCACTCAAGATTCATGAATAAAACAAATGAAATTCCTTTCTTACCCATTCCAAAACAGTATTGCTGATGTTGTTTAGAAGCACTATCAGCCTTGTTCCTTGTGTTTTCAAAATCACTGATGACTTCCCTGATTTAAAAAAATGTGGTCAATAAAAAGTATCAATTCTTAAAATTCATCAAAAATTGAACCAACCTACCTAAGTGTTTGTTTGTCATATCTTTGATGTTCCTCTGTTGTAAGTTTATCAGGATATTTAGTTCCAAGTTCTAAACATTCAAAATGACTCCAAATCGTTTTCAAACAAGATGTAGGATGTGGTCCATAGTATTTTACACAGTGCTTTGGATATTCTAGAAAAATTGAAAATTTATTAAAAATATACATTTACCTATATATATAAATAAGTGAATGTCTCACACAATAATAAATGTAAAAAGTCTCACCCATTCCAAAGCATTTCTTCTGATGACCAACATTTCCGTTATCTGATGCAAGAGCTGAGGCATTGAACTGTGCGATCAATGGTCTATAACAATTCAAGTGATTTGTTAAGCAATGTATCAATGTAAAAAAATATTCCCAAATTTTTTATTCTAACCTCAGTCCCATTTCAGTGAAAGCTGCTATAGCACTTTCAGATAACTTGTGAGGATATTCTTCACCTTCTGGCAAACATCTCACTGAAGTCCATATTGTAGTTAGGCATTCAACAGAATATGGGCCATAATACTTATCACAGTGGGCAGGATATGCTAGAACAAGACAAGAGTATGCATTAATAATACTCTATGAGGCAATCGTCAGTATCAATTTAATAAACGAACAATAAACTGAAGTTAAAAGCTGTAACTATATACGAAACATCTTACGTAATCCGAAGCAAAAATTTTGATTCTCTACATCTCCATTATCTGCAGATGACTTTGTTCCATTAAACTCATTTATTATTTCTCTGTTTAAACAATAAGCAAAAACATATTACATGCATATAATATGCTGGCTGGCGGGATAAAACTGTACTGAGTGATTTTCACCTTAAATTGTTTCCATCAAGGCGGGTTAGATCTGTTTGACTTAATTTTGTAGGATGTTTTTTCCCTTCATTTATGCAACGTGCAGAAATCCACATGGTCTCCAGACAATTCACTGGATGTGGTCCGTAATATTTTAAGCAATGCAGTGGATATTCTGCAAACAAAAGCAAAAATTGAATAGCATAGAAGTGAATATTGAACTCAAGAAATTTAATTTGATTTTAGCATAATGATCAATCGAATGGATAAAATCTAGAACATTGAAAACAGTTTCAGTGTTGACTTGAGATTCTTAATATACCTGAAAAATCAATTTCAGAGTACAAACCTTTAGAACACTGTACCATAAGAATATAGAATGATTATCTCGATAGTCGAACCAACTCGATACTCGAAAAATTAGATAGTCGACCAAAAAATTCTAGTCAAAAATTCTGTGATATCAAGTATAGGTTCGATGCTCAAACATCCGACCGCGATGCTGAGTGCGATGACATCACCCAAACTGCACAGCTCGGCTGCCTCTAGACTATTCAACAAGGAAGCGAGGCTCAAATATATGAACACAATACCAGCACGGCAGACTCAACGACTAACCAGAAACGCTAAAAAAAGTCCACAATTTGCTTATTAAACATGCAATAACTAATGCAAAATTTCATCTTTATGTACACATTTAAATAATTATTGTTGTTATTTAAATGATTTATTATTATTATGAGTATTTTGGAATTCGGAAGAACGAATTAAATAGTTAACATTGTTTCTTATGGCAAAAAAAGTTACGGGCACTCGAACAAATCAGAAGTAGTACACAAATCCTCAATAAAATATGTGCGACTACCGAGGTATCACTTTATATATTTCATATTTCCAATTTCATTCAACATTGAAAGCAACCGAATACATGGATAATGAAAAATATTTGATCAAATTAAAGTTTACAACTATGGCCTGATCTCAGATCAATCAGTCAGTCAGTCAAATAAATCATAAAATACATTTAAACATTGAATGTGAAAAACATAGCGAAAACCGTTCTCACCCATTCCAAAACAGTACACCTGTGACTCCTTATTGTTATTATCCGCATCATTCCTGATAACCTTAAATTCAGCCGTTACTTCCCTAAAATAATAATCAATTGATAATGTTTATTGATACTAAGCGCACACAATCCCTAGCAATACTGATGTGAGACAACAATAAGATAATATAAAATAGGCATGTATCTTGGAACAGAAGCTAAATAGGTTATAAACCTGATATTTAGATTATCAATTCGTTGAAGTTCAGATCTTGGAAGTTTTTCTGGAAATCTTGATCCAAGTTCCAAACATTCGAATGATTTCCATATTGTGATTAAGCATTCCATGGGATGTGGCCCGTAGTAGTTGACACAACCCTCAGGATATTCTAAACATCAAGACTGATACTCAAACAAACACTCAAACTGATCAAAAATTAAAAAACCAATAAAGCATACCCAATCCAAAACATTCCTGTTGGAATTTGACATCGCCCTTATCGGCAGAAAGTGCAGACGTGTTGAAGAGTTCAATGAGTGGACTGAATAAATAAATAAAATTTACATAGCAGATATTAAAGAAAACACATTCATTTTGCAATTATGGTAAGCTCTTATTTTTGTATTGGTTGAAAACTAGATATTCGTGAAAATATTTACATCAACTAACATGCATAATGCCCATATAGGTTCTTTCAGGAGAAAAGAGATGATTGATATATTTATGTTAAAAGAAAAAAACTTTACGTCAATCCCATTCCATTGAATCCATCAATTTCTGCTGAGTCTAGTTTGGATGGAAATTTTGATCCATCAGGAAGGCATCTTACCATTTCCCAAATTGTTTTAAGACAATCAATAATGTATGGTCCATAATACTCATTACAGTGCTTGGGATATGCTAAAAAGTGATTCAATCATGTTAGGAATGGACTAGTTTGCATTTGAAATAGTAATATAGAAAGTGAATGCATTCAAGTAATGAAATGCCATGTAAGATAATGAACATTGTTACAAGAAAAAAAGTTACTGACCCATTCCAAAACAAAAATTCTGATTGTCATGATCACCTTCATCCGCAGAAGATTTGATAGACTTGAATTCACTTATAATTTCTCTGAAATAAATCATACAATTAAAATATACACATAAATAGTGGTAAATACAGTAACTTACCAATCTACATACCTTTGATTCATTTGATCATGCCGTTCCAAGGCGTCATTGGAAAGTTTAGTTGGATGTTTATGACCATCAGGTAAGCAAAGTTCCAAAATCCAGATCGTTACCAAACATTCAACAGGGTGAGGTCCATAATATAATGTACAATGGAGAGGATATTCTGTGTCAAATGAAGAAGTATTTAAAAAACTATTCACTCAAGATTCATGAATAAAACAAATGAAATTCCTTTCTTACCCATTCCAAAACAGTATTGCTGATGTTGTTTAGAAGCACTATCAGCCTTGTTCCTTGTGTTTTCAAAATCACTGATGACTTCCCTGATTTAAAAAATGTGGTCAATGAAAAAGTATCAATTCTTAAAATTCATCAAAAATTGAACCAACCTACCTAAGTGTTTGTTTGTCATATCTTTGATGTTCCTCTGTTGTAAGTTTATCAGGATATTTAGTTCCAAGTTCTAAACATTCAAAATGACTCCAAATCGTTTTCAAACAAGATGTAGGATGTGGTCCATAGTATTTTACACAGTGCTGTGGATATTCTGGAAAAAATTGAAAATTTATTAAAAATATACATTTACCTATATATATAAATAAGTGAATGTCTCACACAATAATAAATGTAAAAAGTCTCACCCATTCCAAAGCATTTCTTCTGATGACCAACATCTCCGTTATCTGATGCAAGAGCTGAGGCATTAAACTGTGCGATCAATGGTCTATAACAATTCAAGTGATTTGTTAAGCAATGTATCAATGTAAAAAAATATTCCCAAATTTTTTATTCTAACCTCAGTCCCATTTCAGTGAAAGCTGCTATAGCACTTTCAGATAACTTGTGAGGATATTCTTCACCTTCTGGCAAACATCTCACTGAAGTCCATATTGTAGTTAGGCATTCAACAGAATATGGGCCATAATACTTATCACAGTGGGCAGGATATGCTAGAACAAGACAAGAGTATGCATTAATAATACTCTATGAGGCAATCGTCAGTATCAATTTAATAAACGAACAATAAACTGAAGTTAAAAGCTGTAACTATATACGAAACATCTTACGTAATCCGAAGCAAAAATTTTGATTCTCTACATCTCCATTATCTGCAGATGACTTTGTTCCATTAAACTCATTTATTATTTCTCTGTTTAAACAATAAGCAAAAACATATTACATACATATAATATGCTGGCTGGCGGGATAAAAGCTGTACTAGGTGATTTTCACCTTAAATTGTTTCCATCAAGGCGGGTTAGATCTGCTTGACTTAATTTTGTAGGATGTTTTTTCCCTTCATTTATGCACGTGCAGAAATCCACATGGTCTCCAGACAATTCACTGGATGTGGTCCGTAATATTTTAAGCAATGCAGTGGATATTCTGCAAACAAAAGCAAAAATTAAATAGCATAGAAGTGAATATTGAACCAAGAAATTTAATTTGATTTTAGCATAATGATCAATCGAATGGATAAAATCTAGAACATTGAAAACAGTTTCAGTGTTGACTTGAGATTCTTAATATACCTGAAAAATCAATTTCAGAGTACAAACCTTTAGAACACTGTACCATAAAGAATATAGAATGATTATCTCGATAGTCGAACCAACTCGATACTCGAAAAATTAGATAGTCGACCAAAAAATTCTAGTCAAAAATTCTGTGATATCAAGTATAGTTCGATGCTCAAACATCCGACCGCGATGCTGAGTGCGATGACATCACCCAAACTGCACAGCTCGCTGCCTCTAGACTATTCAACAAGGAAGCGAGGCTCAAATATATGAACACAATACCAGGACGGAAGACTCAACGACTAACCAGAAACGCTAAAAAAAAGTCCACAATTTGCTTATTAAACATGCGGTAACTAATGCAAAATTTCATCTTTATGTACACATTTAAATAATTATTGTTGTTATTTACATGATTTATTATTATTATGAGTATTTTGGAATTCGGAAGAACGAATTAAATAGTTAACATTGTTTCTTAAGGCAAAAAAAGTTAAGGGCACTCGAACAAATCAGAAGTAGTACACAAATCCTCAATAAAATATGTGCGACTACCGAGGTATCACTTTATATATTTCATATTTTCAAGTTCATTCAACATTGAAAGCAACCGAATACATGGATAATGAAAAATATTGATCAAATTAAAGTTTACAACTATGGCCTGATCTCAGATCAATCAGTCAGTCAGTCAAATAAATCATAAAATACATTTAAAACATTGAATGTGAAAAACATAGCGAAAACCGTTCTCACCCATTCCAAAACAGTACACCTGTGACTCCTTATTGTTATTATCCGCATCATTCCTGATAACCTTAAATTCAGCCGTTACTTCCCTAAAATAATAATCAATTGATAATGTTTATTGATACTAAGCGCACACAATCCCTAGCAATACTGATGTGAGACAACAATAAGATAATATAAAATAGGCATGTATCTTGGAACAGAAGCTAAATAGGTTATAAACCTGATATTTAGATTATCAATTCGTTGAAGTTCAGATCTTGGAAGTTTTTCTGGAAATCTTGATCCAAGTTCCAAACATTCGAATGATTTCCATATTGTGATTAAGCATTCCATGGGATGTGGCCCGTAGTAGTTGACACAACCCTCAGGATATTCTAAACATCAAGACTGATACTCAAACAAACACTCAAACTGATCAAAAATTAAAAAACCAATAAAGCATACCCAATCCAAAACATTCCTGTTGGAATTTGACATCGCCCTTATCGGCAGAAAGTGCAGACGTGTTAAGAGTTCAATGAGTGGACTGAATAAATAAATAAAATTTACATAGCAGATATTAAAGAAACACATTCATTTTGCAATTATGGTAAGCTCTTATTTTTGTATTGGTTGAAAACTAGATATTCGTGAAAATATTTACATCAACCAACATGCATAATGCCCATATAGGTTCTTTCAGGAGAAAAGAGATGATTGATATATTTATGTTAAAAGAAAAAAACTTTACGTCAATCCCATTCCATTGAATCCATCAATTTCTGCTGAGTCTAGTTTGGATGGAAATTTTGATCCATCAGGAAGGCATCTTACCATTTCCCAAATTGTTTTAAGACAATCAATAATGTATGGTCCATAATACTCATCACAGTGCTTGGGATATGCTAAAAAGTGATTCAATCATGTTAGGAATGGACTAGTTTGCATTTGAACAGTAATATAGAAAGTGAATGCATTCAAGTAATGAAATGCCATGTAAGATAATGAACATTGTTACAAGAAAAAAAGTTACTGACCCATTCCAAAACAAAAATTCTGATTGTCATGATCACCTTCATCTGCAGAAGATTTGATAGACTTGAATTCACTTATAATTTCTCTGAAATAAATCATACAATTGAAATATACACATGAATAGTGGAAATTAAAGTAGCTTACCAATCTACATACCTTTGATTCATTTGATCATGCCGTTCCAAGGCGTCATTGGAAAGTTTAGTTGGATGTTTATGACCATCAGGTAAACAAAGTTCCGAAATCCAGATCGTTACCAAACATTCAACAGGGTGAGGTCCATAATATAACGTACAACGGAGAGGATATTCTGTGTCAAATGAAGAAGTATTAAAAAACTACTCACTCAAGATTCATGAATAAAACAAATGAAATTCCTTCTTACCCATTCCAAAACAGTATTGTTGATGTTGTTTAGAAGCACTATCAGCCTTGTTCCTTGTGTTTTTAAAATCACTGATGACTTCCCTGATATAAAAAATTTGGTCAATGCAAAAGTATCAATTTCTAAAAATCATCAAAAACTCAACCAACCTAAGTGTTTGTTCGTCATATCTTTGATGTTCCTCTGTTGTAAGTTTATCAGGATATTTAGTTCCAAGTTCCAAACATTCAAAATGACTCCAAATCGTTTTCAAACAAGATGTAGGATGTGGTCCATAGTATTTTACACAGTGCTGTGGATATTCTGGAAAAATTGAAAATTTATTAAAAATATACATTTACCTATATATATAAAAAGTAATGTCTCACACAATAATAATTGCAAAAAGTCTCACCCATTCCAAAATTTCTTCTGATGACCAACATCTCCGTTATCTGATGCAAGAGCTGAGGCATTGAACTGTGCGATCAATGGTCTATAACAATTCAAGTGATTGTTAAGCAATGTATCAATGTAAAAAAAATTCTTAAATTTTTATCTAACCTTAGTCCCATTTCAGTGAAAGCTGCTATAGCACTTTCAGATAACTTGTGAGGATATTCTTCACCTTCTGGCAAACATCTCACTGAAGTCCATATTGTAGTTAGGCATTCAACAGAATATGGGCCATAATACTATCACAGTGGGCAGGATATGCTAGAACAAGACAAGAGTATGCATAATAATACTCTATTAGGCAATCGCAGTATCAATTTAATAAACGAACAATAAACTGAAGGTTAAAAGCTGTAACTATATACGAAACATCTTACGTAATCCGAAGCAAAAATTTTGATTCTCTACATCTCCATTATCTGCAGATGACTTTGTTTCATTAAACTCATTTATTATTTCTCTGTTTAAACAATAAGCAAAAACATATTACATACATATAATATGCTGGCTGGGCGGGAATAAAAGCTGTACTAGGTGATTTTCACCTTAAATGTTTCCATCAAGGTGGGTTAGATCTGCTTGACTTAATTTTGTAGGATGTTTTTTCCCTTCATTTAATGCACCGTGCAGAAGTCACATGGTCTCCAGACAATTCACTGGATGTGGTCCGTAATATTTTAAGCAATGCAGTGGATATTTCTGCAAACAAAAAGCAATAATAAAATAGCTTAGAAGTGAATATTAAACCCAAGAAATTTAATTTGATTTTAGCATAATGACCAATCGAATAGATATAATCTAGAACATTGAAAACAGTTTCAGTGTTGACTTGAGATTCTTAATATACCTGAAAAACCAATTTCAGAGTCCAAACCTTTAGAACACTGTACCATAAGATTATACAATGATTATCTCGATAGTCGAACTAACTCGATACTCGAAAAATTAGATAGTCGACCAAAAAATTCTAGTCAAAAATTCTGTGATATCGAGTAAAAGTTCGATGCTCAAACATCCGACCGCGATGCTGAGTGCGATGACATCACCCAAACTGCACAGCTCGGATGCCTCTAGACCATTCAACAAGGAAGCGAGGCTCAAATATATGAACACAATACCAGCACGGCAGACTCAACGACTAACCAGAAACGCTAAAAAAAGTCCACAATTTGCTTATTAAACATGCGGTAACTAATGCAAAATTTCATCTTTATGTACACATTTAAATAATTATTGTTGTTATTTACATGGTTTATTATTATTATGAGTATTTTGGAATTCGTAAAAACGAATAAAATAATCAACATTGTTTCTCATGGCAAAAAAAGGTACGGGCACTCGAACAAATCAGAAGTCGTACAAATCCTCAATAAAATATGTGCGACTACCAGGGATGGCCAATTCGAATAAAGTATTCGAATGCATTCGAATATCTCATCATTCGAATATCGGAATTAGCGTTCATAAGAATATCGGATATTTGTGTGACGTCACACATTTTCGACGCCGCTCTCAAGACGTTTTCGTTGAATGAAAACATTCTCGATAAAAACTTGCGCGTGATTGTTTTCATCACTCATCAGCGTAACGTGTTATTTAGGCCGTAAACGCCTTTACGTTTGTGTTATTTTCTCTGAAACGAAAATTTTCCACAAATTTGTTCCACGATAACGAAGACAATTATTTTATTTTTGTACGCGCACGGAATTGTGAATCTGGTAAATACGTTCATCGGCGGCGAGTTTCTAGAAAAAAGACGCAACTTTTTGATTGAAAAGCGGCAACTTAAAAGACTGAAAATAAAACCGTAAACAATTACCTCTTTGAACTCTGAATCCCCAGAACGACGCTACTCTCTCACCCTGAACTCCCACGCCGTCGCATCGATTTGACGCGTTAAAAAATTGTAATATCTCTAATTTTAAATCAACATAACTTCTAAACCATTAGATATCAGATGGTCTGTAATATGTCATATAAAAGCTTATCTAGTCTTTAATTTTTAACTGGCAATATTTTTTACGAGATGTTTTGATGAGATGTGTAAGTCTATTTTTAGTCCCATCTACTAATTTTTTGTATTTTGGTGAGATTTAATACCTTTTTTAGAAATGTATCATCAATATACCGTATTTATTCGATTATAACGCGCAAAATTTTGAACTGAATTTTAGGCAAAAATCAATGCTGCGCGTTATACACGAGGTCTGAGAAATGCGGTATTGAAAATGTGGTTTTAAACATCTGAAACGTGCGTGCGCTCGCGCATGCACATTCCAATGCAGGACGATTTCGTGCAAGCACACGCACATGCGACAGCTCAGCGTGCGTTTGACATTCGTGCAAGCGTTCGATTTCGTGCAAGCACACGCACATGCGACAGCTCAGCATGCGTTTGACATTCCCGCTGCGTTGAGAATATTTATTTGCCATTATCGTACTGTACTGTAGATACCCATTATATATTACCCATTATCTATTATGGCAAGACAAAAACGTTCTGCAAGAGGTTGAAAGTGATGTTCCCGCCGATTGGGACACTGATTTAAACATAACCCAAACAGAAATCGAACAGTTGTTTGGTGAATCAGAGACTGAATCCGATTTTGAAGAGTTTTGAATTACTGTGTGCTTTTAATAAATTTTTGTTCATGCTGTGAGTTGTTACCTTATGTGCTTACCAGTAGTTAGTAGAGAAAAAATAAAAAAAAGAATTTTATACCAATTTTCATTCAAAATTTAAAGGTGCGCGTTATACACGAGTGCGCTTTATAATTGAATAAATACGGTAAGTTAAATTTTGAAAAGTATACCAAATTGCCTTTTCGGGAATATACGGATGACTTTCTTGACATACGCATAACTCATTTTATTGCAGAATTTGTACTATCGATTACAATGGTTTGCGAACAAAATTGATCAACTATTTTGACGCCAAGTTTGCGTAACGACGCAAAGGGTGACGACGACGTTGTCGTGAAAACGTTTATGCGACGTTTCGTGCGTAACGATTTGCGTGAGGTAGATTGCGCAACTGCACATCTGGTCGTTCACAGCTTGAGTTCAGATTGTGTCATCATTGCATCAGTATCATATCCTCGGCCGCAGATAAAACCCTTATATTCAGACGAATCTTGATCGAACATAGTAAAATTGCTGGAATATAAAGGCCATTTTATATACGTTTATTATTTGAATTGGGGACGAAAATGAATGGCCAAAGTGAAATATTTGATCGTCATGCATTTATGAGGTTCCACCGGAAACATCAAGGCTAATTATTCACCATTGGATATCATGAAAATTGAATAAAAAAAAACTGATAACGGGTACACGGAAGACATGGTGGCACCAGTAGCTCACCTGGTCAGTGTTTTACATTTTGCGGCCTCATTAGATTTTCGAAATTACTGCATATACGCTACATTCCTGATATCGCTATATTTACAATGGATTTTAAACGAAAGCTTTGTCCAGATGAAATATTGGATAGTATTCATCTATCGGAAGAAGAAAATATGGCACAATAAAATTCAGCAATGGCGCTAAACAATGCATCCATCGATATGTTCCATCATTCCGTTTTTAAAAATCCTTATTTTTGCTATTCGTATTTTTCATATCTTTATGCAATTAAAACGGCAATAACACTGCATATTGTGTGTTTTAGTCGAACAGATTTTGAGGCTGGATGTAATGCGTAAATCTCCCCGTGTATCGTTTACAAGTCGTTAGTCGCTTCACGAATACGAACTTATGTAAAGGACGTTACGAGCATGCGAGGAAAAGTGTTTTTCGTATGGAACGTAAACGTGCTACGTGCCAACGTAATTGCTTAACGTCGCTGCGTAACGGCGTAAATGTGTTAGGTCGTTATTTACGTCACCTTGACGTCGCCTCAATCTTGCGACAAACAAAATCACGAATAAAAATGCTTCTAAAATTTGAATGGTGCAACATAATTTCAATCTGATGGTATCGCTGGAAAGCTATCTTCAAATTCTACAAATGTTGTCGATAATGTACTAGGTTTAATCGAAAACAAATTGAAGTTTGGTCAATTAGATTTGAGCAATTTTCAGAAGTTTTTAATGCTTTTTAATTTTGCCAATTTTCATAAGATGATCACAATATTTTATCTCAATTTTAAAATACTACTTAGTCCTGTAGATCAGTGATTCCCAAAGTGGGCGATATCGCCCCCCAGTGGGCGAAAACGATACAGAGGGGGGCGAAAAAGACTATTTAAGACTATTTCGCGAAACCTGTTTTATGTTCGGCGCACTTAATTCTGTACTCTGTGTGCATTCGCAGGCTTGAATCATGTGGGCGATATTCACACGCGAAAGGATTTCTGGTCTCGTCTTCGCAGTAAGGTAAGGTAGTTTGCGTATCCCAGTGGTCGGCAAAATACGGCCGGAGTAAAATAATCTGGCCCGGGACGATTCACTGAATGGACCTTTCCCCGACCTTTGACCGCGGAAAATTCTTCCCATACTTTACCATTTTAAAATTTCCGGTGCTCATTTTAAGAGTGGTTTCGCGAGTTGTTGCCTGTAAAATGGGGTATTTGTTTCAAACTATCATTCTAATACACACCATTTAACAATATGTTTTTTAAAAGTACCGATAAAGAATTTTAGCCTAGTCTATCACAGCTATTTCTACACTGATTTTTGATTGCTGTATTTAAACTGAAACTCATAGAAAATCAAAGTAATCATTGACTTATTTGATTTATATTTAAATTTCCGAAAAACAACTAAAAACGAACGAATATAATTCAAAAACGCAAAAATGAGACGACGAAATGTTCACGACCACGCCTGAAAATCTGTCTGAGTGAGAGTGTCTGAGCGCCTGAGCGGATGCGAAAGGGGGCATTGTTACGTTTTTTGCATCTTGCTGATTGGCCAATGTCACGAAGTAAACAAGGAAGTCTATGCCCGGGTAAATATCCAAACGGCGGTTTTGACGATGAAAATTTTTT